TGCTACTCTTAATATTTCTCAGGCTCATGCAGCATAATGCTTGAAAATTCAGAGAGAGGAGAACGTGTTTGAAATGTATCCTGATGAGGCCTGGTACATATTTGATATTGAGTTCTATGATGCCACTGTGAGATATTTAACAGAATTTCTTCTCTGGAGTTTGGTATTCATGAAGTACTTTTTTAAGTGAAGTACCACTACTGTATTGCAACACTGCTTCAAGCTGATGCCACTGATCTCTATCATCTGTCAATAGAATAAAATGAAGAATAACAATCTCTCATTCGTAATACAAGCACCTAATCAAGTTCTAAGAGTTTTGATGAATTAGAAATGGAGCGCTGTTAAACCACTGCATCTTTCTTTATCTTGGTGAAGGAAAAAAGCTTTTTTCACAGAAGGCCTTTTGTAAATGAATGTGTCTTAGCCTCCTTCCACCTCTGGTTTACACAGTGTAGTGACGCTTTAATCTGGAGACTCATTTCATCGGTTTGCAGTTTAATCAGTGGGTCACCAGAATAAATATGACTTGCCTTTTGATCGTGGTAATAGAATTATGCTCTTTGCATGAGAAAAGATAAAAGAAGTGAAATTGGAAAGGGAATATAAAGGTCAAAGAACAGAGAGAAATCCAAACAGCTACACAAATGTTGAAATTAAGGTGGGAAATAGTGTGGCTGTTTTATTATACACAGAGCGTCATGGATAAAAAACAACAACTTTGTGAAACCAGATGAAGATTCCAGGAATTGTTGTCAACACATAGACTGGGAGTAGAAAAGTGGGAGGTGAGAAAACAAGTGAAAAGACATTTTGATGTGTTGATTATAACAATGAAGAGCTGAAGCAGATCACAGAGAAATGTCTTAGAAAGGTCCTAAACATGTGTGCGACAGCAGACAGCAAAATATATTCCTGATTTTACAAATAATATTTTGCAGTGTATTATTAGCTTACCGTGTATTTAAAGTACATTATTCTGTGCTGTAGCAAACATCTTCATATCATCCTGTCACTTTCCTTTGTTCTTCAGGCTCTAGTGAATGTAATGAAACCTTTGCTCTTTGATAACAGTAATAAATTCAAACGGCTTTGAATACAATATCTCTTATCAGCTCTGTCCAGCCAGTTGCACTAATTACAGTCAAATCGAACAAACTCAAACAATGATATTATGTTTTTATAATTGACATCATTGCAGTTATAGGAAATTACCCCTACCTTACTGAAATGGTGCTGCAAACTGAGATAAAAAGTTCCAAAAAATGTTTAAAAGACTCATGGAACTTATTCAATCAGACAAAATTAGCAGATCACAGTGTGTGACCGAAAATCTATGTGGAACTTCCTTGTGTGCTGCATTGATTTGAGACAGGATGCAGAAAGCATCTATTTAAAGAGGAAAGACTCCTTCACCAAAAAGTGGTCACTCTCGCTTTGGATGTACAATCATTATGGATGAAGCTTTAATGGAAAGGACAACCAAACTGAACTGATTGTTTTCTAATCAGCTTTTAATTGCCAAGTAGCTTCACTCACCTGAGTTACGAGGAAATTACATCCCACTGCACTGACACTTTGGTAACAGAATCATTACTGGACATTTCATCTACCACTGCTGTGCATCGGCCCCGTGACTCACTCTGATCCCCTGCCACAACTGTGAGAACTCACTTGGGAGACACAGACACTGGCAATGGCAGGACAAAGAAAATCAATGAAGGCGACTTCATGTGGTAAAACCATGTTGACACTGAGCCAAGCTTGATGGAGTAGAGGGCCAAACACTGCAACAAGATCTTTATCTGATGAATTAAAACCCAAAGTGACAGTGTATTGATACTTATTTGTTTGCAGAAGTTTTTTTTTAATTATTTATCTCTCAAATTATGTTAAATAATTTCCAGAAAAGTTATGTTTAGCTGAATCAGCAATGCACAGAACATGTATTGTTTATATGTTGCGACCTGTTATGTACTGTAACTATAGGGCTGTTACATACTGTCACTAAGGGATCAACTACCATAATCATACTTGGAAACTTGAAATGTCATCACTTCCAGGTTAAAGTGTCAATTTTAAAAATACAGGTTACATTTAATGGATTGTTGATACATAGTGTTTCAAGGCATGTTTCACACCAAAGGAATTAAGTCAAGAAAAAACAAAACAACCATGTCATTTTCACAGATATGTTTTTATTTGTCAAACTGAAAGAGCTTTTGTTTTGAAGCAACATCTTTTTTTGACTGTACACAGCTTCTCACTCTCCTCTGCAGGCTCAAACCTAACCAGCATTATAATAGGTACGTTTTTCTAGATAGTGATTGACACTCAGACTGAGGAGGTAAGAAATAATAGGTGAACAGCTGACGCAGAGATACAAAGACAGGATGAGTTTCCACTTTGCGCCCCCTTTTTAACCCATGAGATGAAGTTTTACAATGCACAAGACAATCAATGGTGAGTACAAAGTAAAGGCTATTACATCTTTTATGATATGCAAGAACATAATGTGCCGGTGGACATCTTTGTTATACTGTACTGCTCAAACTCATACATCATGCAAACTTCCTCAAAGCTTTGTAGCCGGCCTGCTCTGTGATAAGAGCTCACAGGAAATGAACTACGAAGATCCGTCAGAGCAGATTCTGGCTAAGATATAGCTATTTGGAAAGAAGCAACTGAAGAATCAAAATGGAAAATGTTCAAGACAAATAATCGGTGAGACATGATCTGTTTATGCTTATTCTGTGTCCATGAACCGAAAGAATGACAGTCACTGATTTACACCAATAACTATATCACATATTGATAATCCACAGTAAAGTCTTTGACTGAGTTTGGCAATAACAAAAGTAAACCTTTCCAAGATATCCCTGTCTTTAGAAACATCAGGACCATCATAGTCTACTGTATCATATACTGTATACCATAATATAATTTGCCAAACCAGAATACAGTCGGCTATACTCAGTTCCAGTTACCACTCAAAACTTGTGTTTTGTTTTCAGACTTCATACGGTTACTTGTCAACTACAACAACAACCATGTTGATGGCATGACGGCTGAAAATGCCCTGGAACACAACAATACAAAGTAAGCTCCAAAATATTTGGACGGTGACACATTTCTTGATGTTTTCTTGCTGTGCTTTTCATCATTTTGGACGTAGGAGTAAGTCCAACAGTGTTTGATTCCAATGCATTTTTATTCATTAAATATAAAGTGATGAAAATAACAGTGCCACGGTTGTATTTCCAATGTAGTCAGGCAAGCAAATTTGAAAAGGTGCATTAAATTAAATTTGGAATTTCCTGTAAATGTCTTACTTTCTCTTTCAGGCTGTGCTGCAGTCTCAAAACAGAAACACGGTTTTCCTACAATATGAAATGATTGGTTAGTTAAGCGACTGAAAGCTGACAGGTCCCTAGTAAAGCATAAAAGTAGACATGGCTCCTTTCAGCTCTTATTGGAGCACTTGAGAGCTTTGGGGAAACTAGTCAAGAGTGGAAACCACAGGAGTAATCCAGGCCTATTTTTAAGCCGTGTAGAATGGGCTGTAAGTTTTGACACTGCTGCAGTACCTCGGGTACTTGTTTACTTCCATTTCTTTAACCAACCAAGCATCACTGCTCATTTACTGCGGGATGCAGCCAACAGCAGAAGCCATACACTGAAAACTGCATTAACATAAGGTTTCAACGTGATTGGCATAACAGCATCTTTATCCCCCACAACCTTAATGTGTCGAAATATTATCAGCACCCTGAATCCATCTGAACACGCAGCGAGCTGCTGTCATGTCATGTGAAAATACTCACAACTTCTTTAACATTTCATTACTGTATTATTTTAATCCAGATCAAATCCCTTGAAAGAAAGTCACAGTCCATATTTACTTTCGAGCTCTGTACTGTTACCACGGTTCATTGTCATTGTAGGTTCGAGATAATGGCACGTATTAATATATTATTAATCTTGGACATTTGCTCTCTTTTGAAAATAAAGAAATTAATTAATTTATCATTTATCTGGGATAAAAAAAAATAAAAGACTGCTTTCAGTATTTGAATTATGCATATATGGACATGATTTAAATAATTGCTCTCACTCATTTGACATTTTCTTTAAATAATACACAGAAATCTTTAAATAGGTGGCCAAAAATTATACATTTGTGGGTTACTATAAATGACATCTATCCTGAGCTTTTTAATTGATTCAACTTAGATCTCCAAGACAACACTAAGACATTAAACATACATTTGTATGCAACTGACAGCTGAGACAAATTAATCTAAATAAATACAAAAAAAAAGAACAAGCACAAACAGTAATTCCAAATATCTTAGAAAAAGTGTAGCGATAATCAAATAGAATCAAATAAAAAATGGAAACTCCTTATGAGAGCATTAGGATATTTTACTAGAGAGCCTATAAGCCTCAGTGTCAGTGCTGCAGAACCATTCTAAACTGCAGTATTTTGTCTGTTGTCTCACATATCACTCATCTCCAGCAAGCTTTTGCAGTGTGTGTTAATGTTTCAGAACTATTTAAAAATGCACATAAAAATAGGTCCCTAAATCAAAGCCATTTGCTCTCAGGGCTAGAGGTTTTAAATGATTTGTCATAGTATACATTTATAATTCACGCACCATGCAATTTCTTAGTCTTTTACATATAATACAAGAGCATTAATAGTGTTTTGATTGATGTAATAATGCCAGTGTCCATTAGGGTAAAAGCATGGCTTGAGGAAGTGTAGTAATCCAAGTAAAAATATATCCGATAATGTGATAACATGTGATCTCTACATTCTATTTTAGACAGTTTAGTTATGGTATGACATTGGTTAATCATGTCCGATGAAGCACGGCAGACAGATTTCACATCTTTGTTAAAAAGTGATACTGTACAATAGCTTCCATGGCAACAAGTTAAAACCACAGTGAGACCCCCTCTTCCGACTCCACCCCCCTAACCCCACCCCTCCCATATATATATATTACAGAAGTTCATTCCAAACAGGATGGTACATCTTGAAGAATAAAAAGACAAAGATCACGCTTTAAAGAGGAAAACTAAAAGACAAAAGTGAATCAGGGGCAGGTTTGAAATCATTGTACAAAAGAACAAACAGCAACCCACCACAACCAAACACTTATTCTTGAAAAATTCCATTGGAAATCAATTTCTTTTTACAGGTTGCACAGTTTATTTTTGATATACTGGGTGAGAGACTCCAGTATGCCAAGGGACAGGGGGCGATGGCAAGAAAGATGGAGGAAAGGACTTCACTCTTCCTCTGTGCATCCGAGTATTTCTACACGCAAAGTGATCCTGCCGTACCATGACCAAGGAAGGATCCGGATCAGCCGAGCGTAGATGGGCGGGTCTATCACGTTCTTTCTGTGTGTGTCGTTGTCAAAGTTCCCCTGGAATACCTGTGGAAACAGCAGAATGGAGGAATTATGATGATTATTTATAACTGATTGTTTATTTACACAACAAGAACAGAAGCTAGAGTCAAGGTTTTTTCTCTACAAAAACAAACCACCATGAAAAACCATTAATTAACTTCATTCAAAACTTCATTTTAATGCTGCAGCAATATTCAGGGGCTTTTAAGACTGAAAGAATAGTTACCAAATGCTTTAGGAGGCAACATGTTGTGACTTCTTTTTACTGGGAGGCAGGTGCAGAACATTCCTGGTGCATTTCTTGCCTGATTTCTCCAGACTCCAGTTACCTTGAAGGCCTTATGCCTGAACAGGCAGTGAAGTGCAGCCAATCAGAGTTTCAATTCAAACACTGCCAATAACGGTACATTCTCAGAATTCTATTCTTGGTACTTTTCTTTTATGCACCTCACAAGTGAGCACATCAGCAGTTTCCCCCTGCAGAAAATTGTGCGTTGTTAGAGCGGCACAGCTGGAATCCCACCTTCACAATTAGTGACAGACATCTACCGTTGTTTTCTCCTCCTCACCGAGCGCTGGTGTTATTAACATGCATCCTATGCTTGTTGGTCTTCTTCTTTCTTTCAATTTTGTCATAAATGTTCTTGAATTTTTCACTTTGGCAATAAAAGAAAGGCTTTGGTGGATGCCAGAAATGTTGCTATGAATGAAAAACCCTGTTTTTTTTCCAGCTTTGGCTCCATAAAACTCATAGCATATTGTGTTACAGACTAATGTGAGTTCCGGATAAATACACCTACACTGTTATCATGTAGCCACCAGCATATCCTTCATGGAAATACTGAAATGGTCATTGTATTTACTATATTCTACACATTGAAGTTGTTAAGAAAGAGATTTCAGTATGTACATCACTATTACATCAATTCAGTGAGAGCCATTAGAAAAGCCTTGAAACACCAGTTCAAGGATTAACCAGCTGCCAGATACAAACAAATATAACTGTCATACTGGGACGTGTGTTCTGCTGTTGATTATTAGAAGCTTTTTGTTGGTGTTTGCTTAATAGACAGCAGAATGAAGTATATTAGGAAGAAATGTATCTACAATGACTGCTTCATTGAAGGATATGATCATTTAATTTAAACAGACATGATTATGCCTGTGTAAGTGGGATGTAATGGGATTCACTGTTGTGTGAGATGGAAAATCACTGGGCTAAATCCAAGCAGGTGCTGGAAATAGGGAGGTTGGGGGGGTTGACCATTTTGAGAGTGAAGCTTCAACTAATTCCCTTTCATCCTAGGCGCTGGTTTTAGATTTAGCCGATCAACACATGATCTCCAAGGTTTCATCATAACAGGTATTACAGCGATGGCCATGCAGGGTTTTGGAGGACAATAGTTTCGACCTTGTGCAGTTGGACAAAATATTCACACACTATCCTAAAATAGAAGGTCAAAGAGGAGATTTGGAGATTCAAGTTTTACGTGCCCCAGCCTCTGTGTTTGTTAGTAAGCACATTGCCAACTGGAAGACACCATTCACATAAACCTCACGGCGGTAATTACAAAGAGGATAATAGAAAGTGAGAAAAGGAATTGGTCATACAAACTGCGTTAATGCCTCATTCGCACACACTAGAGATACAAAAGGAAACCGAGTAGGGAAGTTGTGAAAGGTTCAGCTTTATCAAAATGTCCGCAACCTGGTGACAATCTGTTGTGCCCCCCCCCATGAAAAAGAAAGAGTTATCTTGTGTTCCACTTCATTGGATAAATAACATATAAAAGCTGAATGAAAAATGTAATAAAAATATTTTTGACAAATTTGTCCACAGACAAACCAGAATGTCTTTGTTTTTTAAGACTGGCAAATCCTGCTTTTACATGGCTAATGTAAACATAATCTTAATCTTAATCTTAATCTTGTTTGCTCAACTAATATTCATCCAATCTTCTGCAGTTTAAGGGACATGCATCTGCTTACACTGCAGTTGAGAAAATGATAATATATATTTTCCTACATGAAACAAGTGTGCAATCTCATCCACCATCATAATAAACCAGAAAAGCTCTTAAAAATATAAATAAAAATATGACTCAAGTACATGATGGTGAAAATTAAACAAAGGTTAAAGGAAAATCAATATACATGAAATGTTGTAATTAATTTATTTCTTGTATGAAAACTAAAAACTAAACTTTTCAATTAACTTAAGACAAAACTTAAAGACAATATGAAGCTCAAACAAAGAAGCTATAGCTTTTACTTTTCTTTTTTTACGTGGTTGTGACTATAGAGAACAACACTCACATTTAGGCTGTTTGTAATTATTCACAAGTATATAATAGCTTTAGGCCACTTAAGCTTGATGTTGGTGCTTGTAACAACCTGAAATATTATAATTGGAAATCCCATTTCATTTTGAGCCTTATGTCACTTTCATCATTATAAAACTCTTAGAAAATGAATTCCACTAAAGCATATAATCATAGGTCTGAATAAGGATTCAATATTGTTCAGATTCTATAGAAGCTGGAGCATGAAAGACATGGTTTGAGCATGTAGTAGATACTGTTGTGAGCCATTTGGTTATCCAGTGTCAGCTGGACATATAAGATGTAATTGTCCCAGATCAATATGCAATAATGTGACAAGATATCAAACCTCCTCCTCCTAGCATGTGTGCGTGTTTCCATTGCTGTGACTTCTTCCATGTCACATCTTGTTCTCAGTGCTTTTGTGAATTAATCTAACTGAGGACTGAAGCTGATATCATGTGACAGGCTTACACTTTCATTGCTGTCCTTATTTCATTCTTTTTCCTCATTTTCTTCCTGCAGCCCCCCCCCTCTCATCTATACTGTAGCATGGAGCTGTAGTCAGACAAGGTTTGCATCTGCAGACAAGCAAAGAACACTACTCTCTGTCATCTCTCCCTCTTCCTCTACTATTTAATAATCAGAGAAAAATCAATAAATATCTAAGGTTTCCTTATCTTGTACTTCTGCAGTTTTCATATATTCCACAAATTTAGAAAAAAGAAATGATTACATCAACACATTTTTAAATAAACAATTATTGACATGACTCCATCTGAAGTCCTGAGCAGTGTGGTTAGGCTCTCCCATTTGCTCCAGCCCACATCTGTTTCAGTGCTTTTTGACAGTGATTCTTTCAACTGCATGATGCTTACACTGATACTTGATAATAAAGTTAAGAAAGTCACGTTGCACGGATCATAAAATTCTACTGATTTTAGAATAACACAACAATAAACACTTGACAGTGGAAAAAAAGAAATGTGTCACTTCCAGGAGTGTTGCCAGAACCATAATATTACAACCAGGGCACATAAAAGCACAATATAAAAGGCAGGACAAGAAGGCCATAAAGGCAGCAGCTGATTGAAATATGACAAGAATCTGTCCTAGACTGTCTGGGGAACTGCACAGTGTCAGAGGCAATGTCTCTAAAATAAACTGTCTGGAACAGGATATGTGAAGAATCTCAATAACAGGACAAATAATATCAGAAAGATAGCAAGGTGATGAAAATATCCTCGACAGCAACATATTGGCAAATGACTTTTAGCGTATTAAATAATTCAGAGGTAGAAAGAAAACAACAAAATATGTCATTTGAAACATGTCTAAACCAGAGGTACTCAAGTGTAACGAAATGATTCCAGCAATTACCAGCAAACTCTATGAAAGCTGTGTGACACTGAGCCATCTGCTGTTATTTCACAAAGCATTTTAAAGAGAGTTTCTTGCCACATAAGCAAGTATGCAATATGTAGACATTATCAATAGTTACTAAAACTTCAAGTATCGATTTCTTCATTTGCATATGATCAAACGCATTGCCTTGGTGAATCATATTTCCAAATTTCAACAAAATAGTTGTGCAGTAGGTTAAAACATGTATTTTACTATGCTGATCCGGTTTGCCGATGTAGACATTTTGCATGAATTCTATGAAATGTATTGTAGATCTTTCCCTCTCTGCCCTGCCTGCAACCCTGTTCTGTTGTGTTTGCCCTGTGGTTTGTTTCTACGCCTTACAACACCTCTGACTACTCGCATTCCAAATATGATTTCATTTACTGGCCTTTGCATGTCCATTCTGTTTTCTCAACGGCCATATAAATACAGTATATATACACGCACACATAACTATGACTAGTTGAGTTAGAGCAGTGGCTGCTGTAAATAGTGACTGTTACAGCAACATAATGAAATTACTGTAACTACGATTAGGTTTCATTAAGCTGAGGAATTAACAGATTTGATTTGTGTCCCACTTCAGCAATGAGAAAACAAAATACAGATAGAGCAGAGCATAAATGACGCAGCTCCTGCAGCTGAAGCCCGACCTGCTGTGTCTGACCACCGTTCATCCTGCCCGACATCAGGGAAAAAAGAGGATGAGCCTCTTGCAACTGCCGGGTGAAGAAGACTGCTAGTTGTCTGTGCTAGCTGCCAGCTACTAAAATACTTTAACAATGTTCTAGTTTTTCACTTTAAACTGTTAGTCTCCGTTTCTCTTGCCAAAGTCAGGAAGCACCACTGATCTCAGCAGCACTGAGACAATCAACCCTTTGACTTTGGCTAACACACACATCCAAGGTGTCTTTACATCTTATAGATTGACCTTTTAGTCAAATATGCGAGAGCTAGTTCACAGTAGGTCTCGCTTCATGCCCTCCAAGTATAATTATATTATCCAATAGTCAAGACACAAGCATACAGGGCACATTTCTGTGTGTGTCTTCAGACTGACCCAGGGGCCAAAAGTCTGCTCCCAACTATTGATTTCCCAGGCTGGTAGATTCATGGGTACGCATTACTAAGGTAGGCCTTATTTGTGTCCGGAGATACAACACTGCCCATACAAGAAAGCAGGTCGCTCACATGTTTTTTGCTCTCTGCCCTCTTGTTGCCTGAGCCAGCTGCGGTGATACCGGGAAAACTCAGCCACGTCTTCATTGAAAGGTCAAGAGCAGTGTGCCAGCTTAGGAGGAGGCAGTTACACTCTATCAAGCAGTAATACACAACTACTCACCTCTTTTAAGAAGCCAGGAATATGTGATCTAGTTATGTGTTTTATTAACCCTCAGGTGCGTTAAACCTTGAAGCTAATATTTTCTAGGGATGGTAGAAAAAGAAGGTATCACTATAATAAGTAGCTAATCTTAAAATGATTGTATTCCCAGCTACAGTATCTAACAGTCAGTCACCCTATGACCCGGAGGGAACTGAAGGCTCTAATGGCTAATTAACCCTGTGTCACCTGAGTGAAACACTATTAAACATAAATCAATTACCTTTGTGCTTGATTGCCCCCATCAACTGTGTAAATATTGACACCCAGGAAAGAGCAGTGGTGCAGCAATAGACCACGCAATGACCCAGGTGCGGATAGTGTGTGCATGTGGGATTGCAGCCGAGCCGATATGTATAATTACACAATGTACCCCAGTTTAATTATGTTTAAACAATGGACTAAGTTGTTACTTGTCAGTTAAAAGTGCAGTACACAGGTACTCGGCAACTCCATGGATTTTGTAGAGGGTTACCGTGGTGTGTGTGTGTCATGTGCCCCCGCTTTGACAACATCTGTATTCTGACAGAGCCTCCTCTCTCAATCTAGATGTAACTGCCTGCAGCCGCTGCCACACAGGAGCTGAAGGGGGGAGCTGAGAAGAATACTTACAAGCCTCTACCGGTGTGCCCAAACCAGACACCCACACACACACACACACACACACACACACAATATATCCCTTCCAAGTCGAGCATTGTGGTGTGGCAGGAGCACCCTCGGGAGTCCAACAGCCAAATGTGTCCTCTAGCATTAATGGCTGCTTCAGTTGACTGAAGGGGGAAAACACCTTGAAGAATCATACATCTGAACAGCCCCTTGGCTCCGCTAGGGACAAACTGATTGACATTTTCAGAAGCCTTGCTAAACATGCCTGCCCTCTAATACAGAGCACACACGCACTCAGATTGACTAGTCTACCCTTGGTTCTGCTCTGAATTATAGACAGGGAACACATGGACGATCAAATGTCTTGTGTCTTGTGCTATACATATATACGTTTTTCTCTTTCCTGAAAATGAGATTTAGAAATAAAACATAATAAACATAATAGGTTCCTGAGGTGTCACCAGTATTTTTCTCTCCTTCCCTTTGTTATTTCAGATGATTCTTGCCAGGCCTTTGGAAGCCTTCCAGTGCTCAGTATTTAGATTGAAAATCATGCTGAGCCTGCAGTGGCCCGTATCCAAAGATCATCATGGGTGTTGAAATTATAAACTCTCGAAGCAAAGAATTTGACTGCAGAATTGGAAAAATATTTCCGACGATCGGCTGCTACTGCTGCTCCGGCTCCGCAAAACAGGATAAGGGTATAAATTGATAACTGGCTATTGATGGGTATTATTCGCTTTGACAAAGTGCTGTCATATTACAGTGTTAGATCACTATCACACTGAGCCAAACAAAATAAAAATCTTATCTTGAAATGACAGTTAAAGTTACCACATAACCTCCACGAACTGCTCAGAATCAGTTTTTACGAGAAAGCCAGACATCATAGCTGATGCTTTTATGTGCACACACTGCAGGGCATGGACTGCAGTAAGACTTTGAAATAAGGTATTATGGAAAATGAGCGGCTGAAGGATTTTTAAGCCATTAGAGACCTATTCACAAATGCTTTCCTTTTGGATTATATTTTTTAAATGTGTGGAAGAAATTTGCATTAATAAATGAACATGGGCCAATATGCATTAAAGATTGAATCTAGTGAAATCTAAATCAATCTGCCTTCAATTACTAATCAAATACGGTGTCAAATAAGGGTCAATTGTTAGAAGGTGGTAGTTTTGTGTGCCTGTCTCACCTCGTCTAAGAGGTTGCTCAGCCACAAAAAAAGTTGCACTCAAGCATGACGACATTGTCTCTGCACCTGAATATCTTACAAGCACTTGAATTATCTGTGCAAACAAAATATGATGCACAACCACAAACCCTGGGGTGAGACTCAGCACCTCCAAGTCTCAGGCCATAGTGGTGGCCAAGTGAAGGGAGTTTAAGTATCTTGGGATCTTGTTCACGAGTGACAGTAAAATGGAGCGCGACATGGACAGGTGGATTGGTGCAGAGTCAGAAATAATTCAGATGCTGTACCGGACTGTTTTGGTGAAGAGAGAGCTGAGCCGGAAGGTGAAGCTTTCCATTTACCAGTCGAGCCTCACCTCTGGTCATGAGCTCTGGGGAGTGACCAAAAAAATTAGATGGCGGATACAAGTGGCCGAAATGAATTTCCTCCGTATGGTGTCTGGGCTCAGCCTTAGAGATAGGGTGAGGGGCCCAGACATCTGGAGGGAACTCAAGAGTAAAGCCACTGCGCCTTCGTGTCGACAGGAGCCAGCTGAGGTTTTCTGGGCATCTGATTAGGATGCCTCCTGGGTGCCTTCCTTTGGAGGTTTTCCGGGCACGTCTAACTGGGAGGAGACCCTGTGGTAGACCCAGAGCTCGCTGGAGGGATAAGGTATCCCAACTGGCCTGGGAATGCCTCGGGATCCCCCAGGAGGAGCTGGGAAATGTTGCTAGGGATACGAATGTCTGGAATATCCTGTTTAGCCTGCTGCCATCACAAACTGACCCGGGATAAGCAGAACATCAAATGTCTTTTTCATGTTCAAAGAGTTAAGTTTTGTTTTATGAGACCTTTTACACATGTTCACTTATGAAAATGTGGTTATTTATTCACGCAAATGTCTTCCACAAGTTTAAAAATGATAATTACACTGTAAAGCATTCTACCTATGATCATATACTTTGAGATTATATTCAAGACATAGATGAAGACCTAAATCAAACTGCAGAATAAAAAAAGAACATATTATATTCCATGATCTCAGTGTATAACAATTTCAAGCACCTCTACAGTATTTGCTTTTAGTGCGATATGAGATATGAGTTCTACTAGATCTCAGCTTCATAATTTTCCATAGTCAACACATCACCAATACGCGAATAAGCAGAAGAAGTATGGCATATCTTTCAATAACACAGAGAGAGAGAAAAGTAAACTACCTCTCTTGCCACCAGTGTCTGAAAGACAAGGGGCTTCAGCTTTGGCTCTAACCTGCTGCCTGCAGCTCTCCTGATATCAGCAGAAAGGCTGCTGCAGCCCTGTGCTGTCTCTGTTGTTGTGGGCGATTGGAATGGACATGTGTACTCTGTTGAAGGGCTGTAAACAAGATTTTCAGCATAGCACTGGCCAGGCCAGGTTTGACAGCACAGTCTTATCTGATCCCAAACCAGCGAGAGGCAGTGGGACAGACCAGGCACACTCAGTTTGAGCCACAGATAAGGAGATGCTAAAGAGAAGTGGAGAAGAGAAACAGACAGGTCCCAAAATCGACATGTTCATACTTAATACCTGCTTCAGGTTTCTACCCTTCCCGTGCATTTTTTCTGTTGACACTGTTTCTCTCGTTTCACTCAGAATGCCCCTTGCCTTCATGGTGTGATATATAATTCAAAACCTCAGTACTCACACTACCCATAGGCATGCATTTATGATTCCACTGTATTTTTCTAAGTTTGCTTTGCGCACATGACGATAAAGATGTGTTGTATACAGTCTGCTCAGTCAATATCTTCGACCTGTTTAAACCCGTTTGTGTTTGTCATTATGTGGTGTGAAAGCGACTTACCTTGTCCTTCCCTTGTTTCTTATCTTGATATACATTCCATCGCTCTCCGTCATTACTGTAAGCAACTTTGTATGAGCCAACAAACTGGACATGGCCAAAGTCTTTAGCTCCCTGGGTGATGATACCTGTGACCTTGGTCGGCACAAGCAAGTCCACCTGAGAGAGGAACAAAAAGAGAGAAACAGAGAGGAAGAGAGAAAAATGATAAATTTAAATGCTCAAGAAACTTAACTGATGAAAAAGTTTCAGAGATGATACATTTTCACAATCTAGTCAGCATCTGTTTTTTTTGTTTTTTATTCTTTTGATGTTATTAGAGGATTTACTGTATAAAGATACTGGGCGCAAGAAGTCAGTTTCAATTATTCACAGAGTATTGAACAACAAGGCTAAGTCCACAACCTCGCCTCAGCAAAACAGAAATCACACACTGCAGCAGCTTCTGAGACCCAGACTGCACCATTTGGGTTAATTTTTAATACACTCTCACATTTGTTGCAAACAATTTGCAGCGCAATGGTGCTAGGCAGTCAACACACAGACTTGCTACTTGTATCGACATTTTAGGGTTCAATTATGCTTCATTATTTAGGAAAGTGCACAACACTGCTGAGTTGAGATTAAGTTGAACCCCAAAATGCACGACAACAAGAATAAGCATTATAGCCCCACCACATTTACCTTGCTCACTCTGCTTCACAGAACATTTTCTGCAATTATGATTAAACAGGTCAAGCGTTTTCTAAGTGCGACTTTACCACCGTGTTATTTATGTCAGATGAATAATGTACAGTTGTGTGAAAGAATAACTACATCCCATGGAAATTGTTGACTTTTTCAACATATTTGAACAAGCAAACATTTGATCCAATTTGATACAGAGCTTATAGATGAAGGTGATGTACTTCAACAAAACAACAAGGAAAACTAGCCTTTTGAATAAAACTTCAACAGATGTAATATTCTTCTGTTGGCCTCAGAAGCGAGTATTGCCCGTTTTAGCAGATATAGCGTCTTGTAGGCCTTTTGCATAATTGTCCTAAAGACAGCTTGCTGAAATTTTTGACCACTTTGCATAAGAAATTCCTTCAGTTGCAAGATGTTTTCTTGTATGTACTGCATGTTTCAAAATCCCTACAAAACACAGATTTCAATGGAATTGATTCAAATTTCAGACAGACGGCCTCACATTATCTTCATGAACACTCTTTAATATGATGCAGAATTCAGTTTCAGAGTTTAATCAACGACTGCAAGCTGCCCAGTCTTTCAAGTGATCAAGCACCCCAAACCATGAGATTTCTACGACTATAGTTGTTGGTATGAGGTTCTTCTCTTGAAAGGCTGTCTTCGATTCGTCTGGTCTGAGCATGTTATTCCAAAATACCCGGCCTTTGCCTATCTCTTCACTGGCAAACTTTAGTCTCGCTCTCATGTTCTTTTTGGTCAGCAAAAGCTTTTTCCTGGCACACCTCCCATGCAAGTCAAATTTGTGCAATCTCTTTCTCATGGTAAACACATGCACTTAGATACCAACAATTGTTGAGTTACTTGCAGGTCCTTTGATGACTGGGGTTGTTGGAGACCTTTTTTTTGCATGAAATGATCTGCTCTGCTCTTGAGCTGACTTTGCAGGGGCGGCCAGTGCTGAACAAATTGGCAGTCGTTTGAGATCTACACCAAGATGATTTTCCTTTCAGTGGAGTGATTTATTTCAAATACTTTAGAAATGTGTTTAAATCCCTTGGCAGACTGATAAGCATCCATCACAACTTTTTTTTTTTTTTTTTCTGAAGGCCAGAGAGAGGTCTTTAGATCTCGGAATGATGACCCCACACAATTCAAGAGCAAAGATAACACCAGATCCTATAGATGACAGAGCTTTAAATAACACAGGTTCCACCTGCATTCACTAACGCTGTTCTAATTATTAGCACTTGATCTGGAATGCCTGTTTTTAATTTTATGGATTTAAAGGTGTGCAACATTTTTGTTTATCAAAATGACATAAAATTCATTTGTTTGTGTACATCAGTGGGTGTTGTGTCGTGTTCATTCAACAGTTTTCTGCACTGTTCTGCACCTTTGACATCTCTGTAGCAAAAAAAACAAATAAAAATAAAAAATATGACAAATTAAGGGTGTGAAATCTCCATAACTTCCCATGCGATACACTTTGTTTAAAGAGCATGTTGATTTATAATGATGGAAAAACATGTAAATAATTGATAGCATTGAGTGGTGTATTTCTAAATCCTCAAAATGCAAGTAGCCAAAAATGTTAGTATAAAACTGTCTCACACATACATCTATGCAGCACCAAGTCGCAGTCAACACAGGATGAAAAAAAGTGTACGACTTGGCATTTTGCTGTCACATGGGAAGACAGTGGCAAAATTTAGAAGCACAGACAGAGCAAGAGAGAGAAACATAAGCATGCAGATTTATTTACTGCTGAATATACACAGCATCGTGACAACAATACATCACACTAATTGGCCTGGTCATAGGCCAACATATACTGTGTCACATGGCTCTGGCGTACATTAAACAAATGAGCGAACAAACTGAAGTAACGCATGAGATATGGCTCAGGTTCATTCCGGGTCTTGACACATTGCAAACCACCACAGTGCACCGCAGCACATTGCACCACACTTTTATTACCTGCAATATCTTACAAACCCTGAAACAATTCTTTTTTTTTTTCCTGAGCTGTGATGTGAATGGGCTCACTCAGAGTTTTCCTCTCTCATAAGGTTCAACACAGCTCGAGAGCTTCTCTTTCCTTCCATCTACTTAAAGATTTAGAACTGTTCCCTGGGTGTTAGAGGGGCCTTCTTAAATGTAGACCCCCCTGCTGTGTACATAAGCAGGCGTAGAGCTGGGTCCTGACACACATGTAGACAAAGCCATGCCTGGGTGACTACAAAGCAAACTGTTGGCTCTCTGAAAGGCATCCAAGTGGGTAAACTCCCAGTTCTCCAATTGTGAGATGTTAAGCTAATGAAAGCGGGACAAAAAGGCATTGAAGTTTGCGTGCACACATAATTCAACTCTTAACAATGCTGTGGTTACAGGTATGCAATTATGCAGATGCTGCTCACAATGTACGCATGCTTCATTTGTTGTGAATACACTATTCATGGAGTTTCTCCTTCAGATGGAAGCTGCCAGTGCTTCCCTTTTTTGTGTAAAGTAGTGCACATTTCTGTTTCTGAAAGCAGCTGTGGCAGCAGTGTGGAATATTTTCCTGTGAAGTATATGATTACCTTTAAACAACAGTGCTGTTATAATGACAGTGACGCCGCAACCCCTGGTAAAAGGGGCCAGGAAGAAACAGTGGCACTGGCTGCTTGGTTGATTTAGAGAGGCATGACACCTCTCATTGTGAAGCTTTGATTATGCTCCAGTTGCAGAACGTTGAGGTAATCTCGCTCTACCCAAGCAGTCAAGTCTGCCACCAAAAACAAAGGCACGCTTGAAGGGGGAACCTGTAATTGCTGTCACAGGTAGCGGTCAAAAAATACGACCGCCCCCAGCGACGTCAGCTCCCAACACTTTGATGGCCCAAACTAAATTAGGGAGCGAGATAAGCTTGTTAAAGCTACGCCTCTCCTCCAGCCCCCGCCTTCTGTTCTTCTTTCATCACACTCTCAACCCCATCCTCTCCTCCATGCGCTGTTAACCCAGACAAACTAGGAGTGTGTGAAGTCTCTGTAGCAATCTCGGAATGCTTGTGGCGTAGATGTTCCAAAGAAAAACAACACGAGAATCAATTTTAGGAATTTACTTGCTGTGTCTGAGATTGAAAAATAAGATTCATGCAACTCTAATCTAAGCTTCCAGTTTCCCCACCAATACAGCTGCACGTCAAAAAAAGGGAGACAGGGTCAATTACTTATTTGTACTTCTGTTTGATGGCAGCGTGCAAACGGGCAACATTTGTGCATTTCTTCCAGACACACACTTATCTCCTGTGCTCATTAAGAGTAGACTTGGTGCGTAAATCACATGTCCCTATTTGAAGTGGCTTTGCCATCGCAATAAAGAGAGTAATGCAGCGAGAGGCAGCCTTATAAGAAGCCAAATGAGGCCCAGTTTCCTTTTTTATGAATACAGAACATGCATACACAGCATCCTGCTGACATTCTCCCTCCAGCTGTGCTAATTTAACTGTTTGTGTAAAACAGACATTTAATCTTCACAGCCTGTGCATGTGTTTCTGTGATACATACTTTCTATATATGATCCTCTTAGGTCACAGTGCAGGATTCAGAATTGCGTGCTCACACTTCACAAAGCCACGAGGACAGTGCTATGGCCCATCAACGCCACAACAGGACAGCTATCATTAAAGCTTAAAGCCAGGGTGAGAGCTTGAAAATCACCCTGTTACACTGCTCTTGTCTCCTCAGGCAGTCTGGAAAAAGCAACAGCAGGTCATTTTCTCACTGAAACACTACAACATGTGAAAAATCACAGTGTTAAACTTCATGTGATATTGCTCAACATGAAATAAAACGCCCCACCCTATCACCATAACACACAGTGATTATCGTATCGAGGTTTTGAAAGATGTGGGTATTTAGGAGGTATAGGGCTGGTCTTATGAAAGATGATATTGAGGTGCATTATGGGAACTGAGGGATCCAGTATTTCTGGAGGTTTATCTGTACTAGAAGCTAAAAATTATAATATCTCTTCCTCTCCTGCTTTGATTTTGACCTTCCTTATTCTCTCGTTAGACTCCCCTTATGGAAGTGAAATACTAAATTGTTGTAGAAATAGCCATCTATGGTCACTGTGTATTTTTGTGAGATTCACTTATAGCGTACAGAGTAAATAGACCAGATACAAAAATACAAGTGAATGTTCAAATGCCATCACTGTTGTTGGTTGGCGTGGAGAGAGAAATGGGAGCCTCACAGCCCCTCAGTGTGTTTTGGGCTTTAAGAAAAGTAGCATGGACTTTTTACATGAGATTTCAGATCTGTCTGCTATCCGAACATAGTACTTGCCACATGACAAAGCTCAATATTCTGTGCTGCTGCAACCATCTTCAGAGAAGCCCCTTAACCCAAAAAGCGCACCTAAAATGACCAAAAAGAAACGAGGGATGAGGCTGAAGGCAGACAATTTCCAGATAAATGGCT